GCTCTGCGTCTTGCGTTACTTCCCCAAAGAAACGAGGGGGAAATTAAAATCCGTAAGTAAATAGATGTTGATGAAAGACACAAAGCAAATTGAGTCCCTGAAATTAAAATGAAATTCAGCGCCTCCTTTAATCTGTTCGCACTCCCTCGTCGCCCTTTACCGTAGGAGGATCTCTTCGCCCATAAATAACGTCTTCGTACCCAGCTTGCTTTGTGTGTTCTTCTCGTTTATTGATTTTTCGTCCAGGTTCCGGCTGTCAGGTGCAGAGAGGGTCCCTTTAGCGGGGGCAAATGTTTCTGACAGCTCCAGAGGCTCTGCACCGGCGTCCACTCACCGCCGTCTGCATGCATTGCCAGGGTGATTTATAAAAAGGCCACTTCCTGAACTCTTGAACACCTCTTGACAAAAAAAAAGAAAAAAAGATTCAGTCTCCAAAACCCAGTAATACATGCTCTAAATTGTTTGATAAAATGAACGCATTTGTCCCAGATCGGGTCTTTTTGGATTCACAGAAAAGGATACCTCGCCTCCATTCATAAAACATATCCTGTAATATTTTACATTCAAAATTTAACTAAAATTTTAAATAAAATAAAAATGAATCAATAAATATTTCATTAACATTATATATATAATAAATGATGATGAATCCATTTGACCTCTTAATTAAATATATGTATTTTTTACTAATGAATATTTTTTATTATTAAATAATTTAAATATGTTTTATTATTGTATAGTTACGTAATACATTTTTTTAATAATTTTTTAATAATAAATTTATTTTAATAAATTTTAATAATAAATTCCCACTAAACATGAATATGAATATGTATTTTTTTTTTGCTAATGAATATTTTTATTATAAAATAATTTAAATATGTTTTATTATTGTATAGTTACATCATAACAATGTTTAATATTTTTAATAATAAATTTATTTTTAATAAATTTTAATAATAAATGCCCACTAAAGTCTGTTTCTTCTCTGCCTCATCATGAACAGTGTTCAGGGAACCTTACACGGTTCGCGTGGCGGACCAAAGGTCCATGCGGGGCAACGTGGCCGTCTTCAAGTGCCTCATCCCTCTGCTGTGCAGGAGTACGTCAGTGTGGTGTCCTGGGAGAAGGACACTGTCTCCATCGTCCCAGGTAAGACAATCCTCGCACTGTTGGGCTGTTTAAAGTAACCGCTGATTTGAAATATGTCGTTTTCATACATTTTGGACATGCAACAAATCCTAAATTCTGTACAGGATGGTATGTTGCATCTGTGATTTTGTGTCAGTTTGGTTTATTGGTTCCCTGTCATTCTGGTTTCAACGTGTGGAGAACAACGGATATTATTTGAGAGTTCAAATAGAGTCAGAGGTCACAACTTTAGGCATGTGTAAATATTGTCAAGAACAGATTTTATTATATTTAAATAGATTCCACACAATTCTGCAGAATTCTCTCTGAAATTCAGCACAGGAAATGAATAAGACCACAAATTTTCTTATGGTCTGAGTCATAAACTGAATGGAATTAATATAATAACATTATGATTCTAGTTCATCACTAAGGTGAAAAACAGTGTCTGCAAAAAATAAGAAGGCCTAATTTCCAAAATAGATTTTGGATTTAACATTCATCTGAGATGTTCAAATGAAAATAAAAGCAGCCTGGCAGGGAGACCCTCATATTCTCAATATGCTCTTGGGCAACCCTGTTAATCAGTCCGAATTCATTTTAGCCTTTCTTAATGTCTCCCATTTTGTCTGGATGGAGTATAAACTGGAAAATAGGACAGATCAACAAAATGGAGCTGAATAAAGACACGTAATGCCCTGTACTGTCATCACGAATGATTTTCACTCATTTCCAATATTATCTAACATAGGATGCGTGCAGCATTACACAGAGATTTTCATCAGGGTCATGTTTGTGGAGGTTTGTCTGAGTAATAGGGTTGCAAATTTAGCCTAATTTAAGCAATAAGTCAGTATGACCAACTAGTTTGGGACCAAACGCCGGTTTGTAGTTATCGAGAAACATATTTCAGAAAAAATTACAGTAAAAAAATGTTTGATAGTATAGTTTAGTAACTTGCTAGGTAAGTTTTATAATGACAATGGTGTATGTAACATATCTAATTGTTAAATGTTAGATCATTTGTGCTAATTTGTCATTGTGAGGATTTGGGTCTCTATCGCAGTGCTATTTTTGTCTAATTTTCTTTTTTATTTTACTAATATTTTAAATTCGTATTTAGATTTGTATTTCATTTCAGTTTAAATGAGTAATTTTGTTATGTGCATGTGTTTTTTTTATATTTGTATATTTAATTTATTTTTATTTTAGTGTCAGTTTCAGTAAATTTAGCAACTTAAATGGGCTATACGTAGAATTCAGAAACACGTTATTAGCGACACCGGTGGCCATTAAAGAACTGCAGCCAGTAACTTATTGCTGGTGTTCGTGCACATGTAATGTGATTCAAGGCCCTTACATACTCACGGTGAAGGTCTTTTTGTTATTTCCTCTCAATAACAAAATAAACGCACTACAAAAATAAAATTAGCAGTTAAGAAAGCATCTGATCATAGCGATGTGGATATAGAGTATATTTGAGACTATAGATGTAGCGATATGAGACTATAGTTTGTATTAATCTCTTTTCTTTGCATGACACATTGACATTACAGTACAGAATAGCTCTTTCGGCATCACCCTCCTGAACACATCCTTTGGATTTTCCAAGTGAAAAAGGACCAAGTCCATCACATAAAAATCAGTCTGCTTTCATAGACAAAATAAGTAATATTTCCATGTAATATTTCTTTTTATTTAACCCTTATGCTGCATTAGGGACATTTTTGGTCTTTTGCAGTTTAATTTCTTTGACCATTTTGGCTGTTTTAATGCAAATGGTATGACATTTGGCAAAATTGTGACTTTTTGGATACATGCAAAAAATGTGATCCCATTTTGCAAAATATGTATAACACACACTGTGTCGATCAAATAGTAACACTCAGCACCATAAAGACCAAAAATGGCCCATTGAAACCCATTAAAACGTTGTTTAAATCTGAGGCTGTCAGTAATACATGAAACATGATTTTTGCACAAGCATCCTTTCATTTTGAAGCAAAAGCATTATATTTGCATTATATAGTGTATTCCACCAGATGACGTCACTACATATTTATTCCCTATGGGTGGAAATGCACCTTATTTTAGGCAATAGGCAATGTTTAATAGGTGGCCATTTTTGGTCTCTAATGCGCTAAGTGGGATTTTTTGCAAAGTGGGACTGTGATAATTCAAATCTAAAGTTTTCTCTTTGCATTTAGTTTATTGAAAATAATTGAATTTTTGTGTTTTTTCCTCTTATACAAATCGATGGTTTCGCAAACAAAACTGGTAATTAAAGGGTTAAAATCCTGAAATTGAATACATTTTTGGTAGTTATGATGAGGACTGATGCTGGTTAAAAGATTTAACTTGGTAAAAGTGGAAAATAATAATAATATATAATATTTTAGGCAATGTTTAATATGTGGCCATTTTTGGTCCTTAATGCACTCAACGGTGTTAAAAATCTAATGCAGCACAAGGGTTAATTTAGGGTTTTTAGACCTCCTCTATGTGTGTTTGTATGTGTGAAAAATCCAGTCTGATAGTGGACAAAAGCTTTCCCACGTTATCAAATTCGCTCTAAAGGCAGCAAAATGATTCTGCCAAGAGTGCTTTGTGTGTGTGTTCAAACAAGGTAGCGGTTTTCTTGAGTAGCGGACTTCCAAGCTCAAGTGGCAGTTTGTGTGTGTGTGTGTGTGTGTGTGTACGTTTGTGTGAACCCTGGCCTTGTAGTTGATTGGAAAATCAATAGGTGCTGCTTACACCGGCCAAGTCAGATGGAATCAGTGACTAGAGTCTCTCTCTTTGCTCAGTTCATCTTTCTCAATGGAGGTGTGTGTCTCCCTGCCCTTCACACCGGAGCGCTCATTGATCCGCTTTAGCCGCTGTGTCAGTGTGTATCAGTATAAGGGGTCCAGAGGTTTCCAGCAAGTATTGATTGATTACATGCTTGGATTCCCCTTTCTCTCTGGTCACAGATGCGGACATTTGAGTGGTAATCCACACGACTCGGGGGATTGTGGGAAAACGTCCATGTGGATGTACAGCTTGGCGGAGTGTGTGTGTGTGTGATCCCATGGGCAGTACTTTTGTTTTTTCCCCTGTATCTGTCGTGTAGCATCGTTGCTGTTGACTGTGACTTCCAGCTTCATTGATTAACCAGTCGCTTTAATAGATTAACAGAAGGTCACACTCCAGCTTTTGCAAACTGACTCTGACACTCTTTGCTTAAAGATTATCAAGTGCATCAATTGAGCTAAAAAAAATTGAATGATTTGCTACAATATGAGCAATGCTAACATTTGGCGCACTGGTTTATCTTGATAAACGTATGGACTTTAGTTATGCTGTGGAAATTAAGGAATGGGCCGCTCAAAAGGATGCTTTTTCCAATATAATGAAAGTGAATGTTGACTAGTAATGACTACAAATATTTATAAAAGTGATTTATATGATGTTTTCACTATATTCTGAGTCTTCTAAACGCATGTGAAAGCAATATATAAGCAACAGACCAAATCCAGTGTTATTTATTGAAAATCTTGATGTCATTGACTCATTGACGTCACAGAGAGCTAGCCTATATATGAAGAGTTCATGCAAAAGCCTCTAAATGCCATTTGAAATTTTCTTCTTTAATGATGATTTTTATCAAACTTGTATATTTAAGTTCAGTAATTTCACTTAAATAACAATTAATAGGTAATTATCATTGCCATTTAAGTGAAATTACTGAACTTAAATATACAAGTTTGATAAAAATCATCATTAAAGAAGAAAATTTCAAATGGCATTTAGAGGCTTTTGCATCTGAACTCTTCATATATAGATTATATTAAAAAATAGTAATAGATTAAATTTCTATTAGGCTAATCAAAGAATTTTGTGAAAGATTCTCGGTTTCCACAAAAATATTAAGCAACACAACTGTTTCTGAAGGATCATGTGACACTTAAGTCTGGGGAATGGAATAAATCATATAAATTTCTTAATAAATATTTTTTTTAATCAAATAAATGGAGCCTTGGTGAGCATAAGACACTTTAAAAATAAAAATAAAATAAAAAACAAGCAAAAAACTTACCAACCTCAAAACTTTTAATGGTAAACCTTTTATATGATATAAGAATCTGAGAAAACGAAAGCGACACATGGGGCTCAGACCACGTACTAAGGCTTTTAAGGCTTTTTTTGGAGAGCTTTCAGTTACTGTAAGTGTACCACGGTGTTACCATGACAAATGTTCAAAAGAAAGAAAAACTGGTTATACTATGGTACTTTTTATTAATGGTATAATAGCGGTAGGGTTCACTTGTGGATGTAGGAGGGCTGGAGAGAGTGTGTGTGTGTGTGTGAAGCAGTAAGCTGATTTCTGCTGCGTGACTCATGTTTAAGATGGCAAGATGTGTAAGAGGATCAGAGAGAGCAGTGAGGAGTTAGAGCAGGATTTACAGGTTCAATTACACTGCCTGTCATTAGTCTACCCTTGTTTTAGCTGCGGAGGGGGGGACCTTACACCCCACCAAAACACATTTTCCTCACCATCTCAATTTGGCCTTTCCATTGTCTTCTATTGTTCTTAAATTAGCCAATTATTATAGACTAATCCTGAACTAAACCCTAATATTTCTTGAATTTTATGTTCAACATGTCATTTGTAGCCACGTCTGTTGTAGAAATTACACACTTTTGACCCCAAAATACGACTGGCATACATAGACCTGAAAAAAGTTCTCTCATTGTGGTACATTTTTTCCTTTAAGGATGTCCTCAAAAGGATTTTTTGATACAGTTTCTGCAATTGAGCTCAAAAGCTGACACATACGGTTGAACTTGGGGTCCCCTCCACCACAGCGCTTTTTGAATGTGCCGTTTAGCCATTTTGCTCCAAATCTATTCCCCACCCCTCCATTCATGACGCTGGGATGAGGCTCATAACATGCAGGCAATTCCCTGTGTGAATTTAATGAAATGCAAAAAAGATGGAGGGATGCTAAATTATTGATCTGAAATGGAAAAGAAATAAAGAA